ATCTGCTTCCTTCCATCTCCAACAGCCTTAGCTTGCTGCACTTGGTGAAATCTTCCCTCCAGGTGTGGCTGCTATATTGACCCTTCCCTCCCCATTTCCATGTGCTGCCTTCTTGCCTTACCTGTTTCTCCAGGTTTGTATAAGCCCTTGTCTGTCTCTATCAGAATTATATTATTCTTGGGCTTGACCAGAACTTTTTTGTCACCCTCAAGGAGCACATTGTCTCCACTGTGGATCAGGACACGCAGAAAAGCCACCTCCTCTGACTGTCAGGTTGAAAAAAAACCAAAAAAAACCAACAAATTACCTCAGACTACAAAGAGCTTGAAACAGAACCAGAGGCACCTGTCCTTCCAAAATCTCCAATGTCCCCTTCCTCCTTTCATCTCCTGGGATTTAATTCTCTCCTTTCCCAGTCATAGTCTCCTTTTTGTTGTCCAGCTTCTTCATTCCCTCTTCTTTGCCTTTCTGCTTGTCATGTTTGCCTCTTTGCACATTTATTTTCCCTCTTTACTATCTTTCCCACCCTGCACCTCCAACATTAACATGGCTCAGGCATAGGAGAGGCTGAAGCCCTCTAATTTGTAAGAGCAGAAATAGATAAGAGACATATCCTACCTCTGTTTTCTTGGGAGTTAACATGAGGTCTGGCACCTAGGTTGATTGGCACAAGGAAATCGAAAAAAATTCATCAGAAACTTGGCATCTTGTCACAGATATAAGATATCATCTCACTGTTAAAAAATCCCCAAATTCCAGAGTCTAAATTCTTCTGTATGACTCCGTAACCCACTTGTGATTCTAGGGAGAAGCAATCACTGTCTTGTTCATTAACTTACTAGTGAACTGAACAACATGTAATTGTCCCACTTAACATAAATGTGAGAGTTTTATGGAACTAAGTAAACCACAGGAAAGTCAGATCTGAAGTAATGGGAAATGGGATGCTGATGAGGCAAACACAGGACATCTCAGCATCAGAGAGATAAACCTCAGCAGGAGAAAGATCTTTTTGGTGGTTTTGGTTTTGGTGGCTTTCCTGAACCAGGACTTGCTCTCTCCTAAGGGCTGGCACCAAACTCTTAGTTAATTATTGTCATGCTGATGTAAAAGCCAAAAGTGACTACTGCCCCTCCTTGAATGCTCCTGAGTCTGCAGGGCAATCAGGGCATAGGCACAGTGACTTTGTGCAGTGCTGAGGAAGACAGGGGCAGTTTGTAGAGCCTCAGCACCACACACATCTCCATGGTTCTCCAGAAATATAGCTGAAAGTTCTGTTGTCAGTGTGTCTAGATAAGCTAACTGCAGCAGTCAGCAATGACAGGAACTCAAGGCATTCCAGAAATATCTACAAATATCCTTGGTTGTGGGAATCCAGAGCTTCCCTCTGGCTGCCCTGGAAGGCCTGGGACCGCGGCAGGGGGTCAGGTGTTTGTTTTTTTTTTTCAACCTGCCCCGAGAGACACTGTCTCTGATCTCTGTCCATGGAAAAGAGTTTTCAATCTTACAGGATGAATTACAAGCTCTGAGTGCTTGATATAAGTAATAATTAAGTGTGGCATGGGTGCAAAAGTAAAATTTTAGGTTTCTAGATTAGGGGTTCAAAGGGGACAAGATGGAGGAAATTGGGTGTGTCTTGTCCTTTTTCTCCTTCATGCCCTCCATGTTTCACTGTAGTGTTGGTATTTTTCTGTTGGTTTAGGCTGAGGACACACTGTCCAACGTAGGTGACAGATATTGGCACATTATTGTAAATACAGCACAGGAAGTTTCTGGTATATAATGTTTGTACCATCCCACTGAGGGGCAGAGCCCCACACGCTGCCCTGCAGGACAGACCTGCGGCAGGGCAGCAGAACATGTTATAGATAAGCAAGAATAAACAACCTTGAAAACAGCACAGATGAATTATGACTTCTTCTTTGGCAATGGGGCAGAAAGACAGAGACTTTCTACAATCTCGGAATCATCAATACCACAGATTCTGACACTTGGTGAAATTCAGTTCATTGTGGGTTCAGCACCATCACAGCTAAATTAAAGCAAGCTCAATGTCTATGCAGGCTGCAGCTACATCTGGCAATGTAGATGCAGCTTTAGAGCAGAATGGTCCTCTAGGAGCTGAAGGGGCAGGCTCCTGAGGAAACAAGGATGAAAGGAATATATTTGCAATGCATTGACTTTTGCTGTGATATACAAGCACTTTTAGGGACAAAACACTGATTAAACTGAAAATAAATGTTTAGCACGCTTTATGTAGGATGAAATGTGCTGATACAGATCAAAAGAGATCTGTTCTTTTCTATAAAGACCTTTTTACACACAGGAAAGATGCCCTACTATCTTAGACTCCAGGACACTGTTGTATTTTGCCTAGCACTGGTAGGGAAATATACTTAGCCTGCTTGAAAGCTATGGGAGGGAAAAGGACAGTGCAACCAGAGAAGTGCCGTGCTCTTGTGTGAACGTGAAAGTATCCCCTGTCAAATCAGCAGCCACATCTGCACTCACCTGGAAGGTGATGCTCTGAAAAGTGCCCGGCTTCTCCACATCCTGCTCCACCAGTGTGTGATTCTGGGTTTTTGTCTGCAAGGTGACAGCCAGGTGGACGTTCTCATTTAGGGAGCTGAAGTGAATGTAGAGCTTCTCCTCCTGGGACTGCTGAATGATAGCAGGGAACACCACCAGATAGTGACTAGAAGAGAGCAGCACATGTTCAAAAACAAGTCAAAAGCTGAGGTGGACAGGCCAGAATCTATCTCTGCTGCTTTCATGAAGAGGTAGACCAAGGGTGAAAAATGTCTGGAGGACTGCATTGAAGGAAGTTTAATGCTTTTAAATTAAGCTCCTTTTCAAACGAGAAAGGAGGAATATGCCCAGTATAGAGAACTCCCAATTTCTCTGTGTCACCACCCTGCCACCAGCCAGGACACAGCTGCCCAGTCCACAATGCTCCAGCTGCAAGTACACAGAGCAAGGCTGTGTGAGGAAGCCAAAGAAGCCAAACATTCAGTGGCATTAGACTTCTGTCCTCGCACTAGACTTCACCCCCACCAGTTCGGCACAAACAGAGGCAGAACTCCTGTGGCCTCTGTAGCACTGTGGCGTGTGCAGTGCAGCTCCTGCACAAGCCAACACCAGGGGCTGCCCCTGCAGCAGTGCTTGATGCCCAGGACTCTGCAGGAGCTGCTTCTGCTCAGCCTCCCTGGGAACCAGGCCCCCACCATCCAGCTCTGGGGTGCCAAAGACTGCAGCCCCTCAACACCACCCTTCAACAACAGGCCCTTCCACCAAGCCCCCCGAAATCAAAAGAAGAGAGTCTCACGGTTCCAGGCTTGCTGCAGCTGCAACTGGGAATAGGGTCAGGGCCAAGAGGAGCGGTGGTGCTCCCATTGCTTGGGCTGGGACAGACAGCTGACTAGATCCACACTGGAGGAGAGAACTGCATGTATTGATGGGTTGGAGCAATCCTAAATACCCCCTCAGGTACTCCTAGGTTCAAAGAGTAGGGGAGTTAATACATGGAGTATGGGAGTTAATATAATATCTTTTCTAGGCTAATGACACGAGCTAATATTTACTTGCCCCCACCAACAGCAGACTGAAGGTCACATAGCACAGTTCTCCACCCACACTCACATTCAGGTGCTATTCCAGGCCAGGGTGGATGCCAGGACACTGGGAACAGATATATGGAATATATGTCTCTAACTCAGGCTGAAGGGGACTTGGGAGAGTCTCATCTCATCCGGGGTTGGTCTGGACCCTGGTTGCAGTTTCTGATGAGAGCCAAATCTGCACATCAGCTACTGTCCTCAGCTTGTAAAAAGCATCATCAGTTTTTAAAAAGCAACATTAGCAATCTTCCCCTCATCCAGTCATTACTGCAACTTGGAGTAAAAACCTTTCAAATCACCTCCATTCCATGCATCACTACCTCTGTCCACCCATCCATCCCAGCCATGTCTGATCCTCCTGGGTACAGAATCTTTTCCAGGGCAGCTCCTGCTACCTATGCCAACTCCTGTCATAGTTCCACTGTTAGGTCTTTCCAAATAAAGCATGACACTCTAATAAATAAATAAATAAAGTCCACACATATTTTATCAAATCTCTACTTTACATGTGTCCAAGCTGGATACCCAGTCTTCTGACAGATTCCCCCATCCATAAGGTGATTCTACACTGACACCACCACTCCCCTCCTCCAGACTCTTCCCAGGCACTGCATCCTTGTGTTTCCATCTCCTGAGTGGCAGCAGTGAAGTGCACAGGGCTTGGATGAATTTGCCCTCGAGTTACAACCTCACCAGAAGGTGGATATCGTCATTCTGTCCTGGCCCCTCTGTGTTTTAGCAGAGCACAACCAAAGGTACACAAGCACCGAGAGAATTTGCCATCCACCCGTGCCTTGCTCCTGGCTGAAGCAATCCCTGGGGTTTACCTTGGCACAGTGGCCATCTGTGTGCTTAGCACCCACTCTCCTGGACCGATGTGGGCACACCAGCCTTCAACCTAGCACTCACATTGCAGATAAACCTCGGGTTTAAAGCACTGCTTGTCCCTGATCTGGGAGCACATCTGAGTCTCCAAAATTAAAATGGGGTTTGAGTTCAAGCCTAAACTAGTGAGAGAAAAAACAGAAAGACAACCAAAAGATAATAAAATGCTAAATACTTCCCTTCCTCCAGGGAGGAATGGGGACACTGGCAGAACTGCATATGAAGCCCTGGGCACGTCCAGCTGGAGGCTGCAGGTCAAGAGTGAAATTTCAGCGAGAAGCAAGTAACACCTAAAAAGTTCTACAGAAGAAGAACTACAGAGAAAAATCCACCGACATCACAAAGAATTATTTTGCATCCAAATGTTTCCGATGATGCCCCAGTTAAAAAAATTTGGAATTTTTTTTTTTTTTGCCTATATACCAAATACAGTAACAAAGTACTCCTGCTGCCAGCAGCTGTGCTGCCTGAGGCAGACAAGCCCTGTCCCAGAGAACCACCGACAAGCCGTACAGAGTCTGCAGCAGCCGCCTCTGGTTTGTAAGCGGTAAACACGGCCGCCACCCCTTTCTCCCGCCCACATTCCCAGCGCAGCGGCCTGATCTCCACCTTGGCGCTGAAGCCAAGGGAGGAACGGCCTGGTCAGCGCAGGAGCTGCGAGCTCCGTCGGCTCTGGATGAGGGGGAGAAGGCAGACAGCAGGAGCAGGGGAGAAGGGGATACTGAGGAGTGGCTAAGCTTTCCTTGGAGGAATTCGACCTGCAATCAGCTATGTGGAGGATCATTCTCCTGTGGGGCTGCATCCTTCTCCTGCCTAGCGCGGCTGGAATGCCTGCAATGCTGTAAGAACTTCGCTGCTTTGCAAATGTGCTCTGGTCTGTGAGGGATTCTGGCGGGGGGCGGCAGTATGACAGAAATGGGACAGAAGTCTTAAGGTGAGGAGTGTTTTTCCGGAGAGGCATAACTTCTCACGTTCCCAAGGTTTTGCTTGGTTTCCATGTGCACTTTCCCCACATTCCCCCTGCTAATTGGCTCTTCCTTTAGTGCCTTTGATGTAGACCATGTATTTCAGCAAGGACTCGGCAGAACGACTGCCAGCTTTCTGCATGTGCTTAATTCTGACCTTCCAATATCTCACATCTCCTGCTGTGTTCCAGAATATGTTTTCTTTGGGCTAAGCTTTTCTTCCCAGAGTCATAGGTCACCATTTAATAGTTTAGCCAGCAAAGCTGAGTGTCTTTACAAAGTGAGCAAGCATGAGCCCAAGTACCTGGCAGAGATGCTCTTGGTACAGCAGTATGATCAGTCAGGCTTGGTTGGCCATCTGCTCCCACCACACCTTTCCTCAGACCTCTGTCAAGGACAATTCCCAGTACAGCTTCTTTTCATATACTTTGTCAGGAATGCAGCTCCTGTTCCAGCAGATGCTGCTGTGATGTCCTGGCTTGTGAACTTGTTCTTGCTTTTTTGGAAGGCGTTTGCTTTTGCAGCCATGGCACAAGTGCAAACAGAAGCATGACTGTGCTTGAGCAGTAGATGTTACGGTGGAAAATATGGCAGCGGGTTGTAGCTGGGTTCCCTCCTGCTGCATGTGTGCACAAGCCTAGTTTTAAAAACCTTCTCCAGTGGGAGTACTTCCTCTAGGACATGTTCCATAGGCTGACAAGCTCCCACTCAAAGGATGTGCTTTACTGCTCTCTGCTTGCCAGTGTTAACCTTCAGCATGAAGCTTTGCTTTATGGAAATACCACTTCCTTCAATAGGTTGTCTGCTGTCCTGCCTGTATTCCAATTTTTTTCATAGATTCATGATCCAGCTTGGATCTTGGGACCCTTGGATGACAGCCCCGGAGATGTTCTTTCTTACTTTTATAGCTCAGAAGGAAAGGGCAAGGGATTAAATGTTAAAGGGGTGTAAGAAAATGTTCCAGAGTAAAGGATCGTTAAGAGCAAGGGGGGTGTCTAAACTAGTGAGACAAAAGTAAAAGGATCATTAAGAGCAAGGGGGGGGTGGGGGAGGTTTTTTTAGTGCTCATCCCATCCTTTGGGATGAAAGCAGTGAAATTTTAGTGCTCATCCCATCCTTTGGCAGAGGGCGGTGCCATGAGTCAGCTCAAATAGGAAAAACAAAATGTTGTTGGTGTGTGTTTTGAGATCCTCAAGGCGGCTTGGCAGCACTCAAGTGTGACAGCAGTCAAAGGCTCCCAGCCAGCAGGACTTTGACTCTCTCTTGCCAGGGTGCTGAGCTCCAGAGAGCTGCCAGCAGGTCACCTCCCTTCCTCCTGCTTTTCTGATCTGTCCAGGCCCTCTCCTCTGCTTCCTGCAAAACATGCTGCTGGCTGAGCCTGTCCAAAGGCAGTGAGTGGGAGGAGTCAGTGATAAGAATTTTGAAATCTGCTTGAATGTTGGCTTTTTGTTGGTCCTAGATGCTACAGTATAGTAAAAGATGGGAGCAAACAAACAGTGAACAGCTTTTTGGTGTTATGGACACAGATCAGAGTAGATGCAGAGATGGGAGAGCAAGCAGAGGGCAAAGAGGACTGTCAGGAGCTGAAGTGAAGGTGCTCATGGGTCTCTGTGGCTGGGACATGGAGCTGGGACACTGGGTCCCTCACAGAGGACATTGTTTCTGAGCACAAGAGTAGTGGGAAAACCAGTCAACAAAACTGATGGTGATAATGTAGTGTGGTTCAGTGAAAACATTGAAGACTTGGGAAACCTGCAAGAGAGCCAAGCTGCTGCTGATTCTTTGAGTGACGTGGGGAGGTCCTTTCACCTTATTTTCACTTTTAATTTGTAAGGTAGTGGCTTTATAATTTTATATGTGCATGCAGCATATAGTACTGCCTCACTGTCAATGTCTGCAGTACCTATAGATGAGAACAGTGTCATGTGCCACTGGTGTCATGACAGCAGAGTGAAGAGACCAGAAGTCTGCTAGGAAGTACCTAAATACAGGTCAAAACCTGCCCTCTTAGAAAGTCAGTTTAACCTGACTTCTCTCTTCTTTCTTCTTTTTCTCTTTTTTTCCCAACAGAAACTATGCTGTGGCAATACCATCGCAGCTCTACCACCCATTCTCAGAGACAGTGTGTCTCCAGCTCAGCAGAGAGCAAGCAGTCCCAATCCATGTATCAGTCACCTTGCAAAGCAGAGCTGGGAATGAGACTCTGATCACTCAGTCCATCTCTCAGCTCCCCTTCTTCCATTGCAGAAGCTTCCAGGTGAGGAAGATACTTTCAAGGGTTTTTACTAGGGTGGATATTGCATGAGTTCTGCTCTTGCTGGGCAGGAATGCAAAGAATTGTGTCTTCCCATGAGGACATCTTAACTGGCCAATAATCTTCTGCTTCAGCCTGCATAGGTCTGCCAGTGTCTTTTCTGCTATGTAGCCCCACTAATATTTTACCTTCCTAGAAAACTATTTGAAATGTTCTGTGAAGCCTTTCCAGGCAAGAAGAACTAGAGCAACCCAAAAGTTATATCATAATTGTTATTCCAAAACCCTTGGGATCAGTGAATGGGATCCACCCTGAATGATGGTTATAACTATACCTGCAGGTCCCTCCTCCTGTTGGAAACCCCGATGAAGTGGCTTTTGTTGTTATCACAGTCTCGGAAGCCAACTCAGAGTTCCAGAAGAAACAGAAAGTCCTAATCAAGCATGCAGACAAGAAGACTTTTATCCAGACAGACAAACCTGTGTACAAACCTGGACAGATTGGTATGGACAGAATGCCATGTCTTGTGAGAGAGAGGGTGGTCCTCAGGCCACAAAATGTGGGGTACTCTTCTAGTCCTCTGAACAGGACCTGCTCAGGAAGGGAGATGGGCCACAGGCTTCTTTCTAGGCTTTGAGGGGTTTGGGAATATGTCTCTCCTATGTCAGCATGCCGTATGCCACTGTGAACAGGGTTTGTGTGTTTTCCTTGATGCGTGAGAAAAGATTTAGAAGCCACAGTGTTATACTCATGATTGCTCCAGTTAAAGTCACAGCTGTCTGTCAGGGCTCTAAATCCCTCTCTTCCCCACAGACTTCCTCAGGTGAGGATTGCACACCTACAGGTCCCACCACTGCCCTTGCACAGCTCAGATCACCACAGGGTTCAGCTGTTTGCCCCATGCCTCTGCACACCTTCCACTGGGATCACCTTCAGTGCAGGCAAGACTGAGTGGCCCACCACAGGTCTACTGTCCAGAAAAATACTCTTTGCCACCAGCACAGCCAGCCTTCCCAGAAAGCCCCACACTGCCTCTCCTAACACTTTTTTTTTCTAGCAGGCTGTCAGCTCCTAGCAGGGCTTTGGGCATAGGCCTAGAAGTGGATGGCTGTGTCTGCTGCCCTCATCCTCTCAGTGAAACACATGTACACATCTTTCTTAGCCTTGTGTTCTTGTTATTTCCTATTGAGAGACTTGATTTCATTTCAGCCAGTCCCGTTTTCCTTTTGCTTTGTAGTCAAGTTGCGGATTGTGACCTTGGATCAGAAATTTATTGCCAGCAGTGAAACAGTAAGTCAAGAGGGAAGATACCTGAAGTGTGGAAATGTTATGAGCTGCCTGCATGTCTTCTAGATCAGTGCTTGGCCCAGCCAGGAGATGTGTGTATAGCTGGTCTCAAAATTACTTTTGGTGCTTACAGTGTTGGGCACCACCTGCAAGACAGGAGCTGCTCATGGGTTATGGGAAGTTGCTTAGAAAAGACTGATGGATGGTTGGATAATTAAAAAATACCAGGGAGGTGGATGGTAACTTACCTGAAAGCATCCCAACAATAACTATTGTTTTCTCCCCACAGCAGCGCTTGGTGGAACTGAAGGTAAAGCTCCTACTTTATTGAAAGTGATGAACTGTTCTCATCCTGGGGAAGACACAGGTTTGGAGATGGTGGTAGGGAAATATTGATGCAGAAAGTCAGCTAGCTCAGAATGAATGGGAACAGTCCTTGACTGTTCCTTCCCTTCCTTCGTTCCATGTCCACAAAAGTTTGGCAGAGCCACGACACTGATCACACAGGGATCCCTGGGTGCCACTGAAAACCAGCAAACCTTCCTAGAGTGGTTATTGGAATTCTAGTTCCTCTAGCCTATGAATTGAAGACTTGTGAAAATCCTGAAGTTTTCTTAAGGAGACTTTTATATTTACCGTATAGAAAACAAACATTTGACCAGTTAGTGTTGTGACTGCACAGCTAGAAACACCTCCTAAAGCAGCTTTCAGGCTGCTGATTCTTAAAATCTGTTCAGAGTAATCACTGTGCTGAGGAAAGACAGCTGAAAGGGGTGGTGGGGTTTGTAATACCCATGCAGAGAGGTCAGAGTCCCAGCTAGCAATGGGCAGTAGTTAATATACATGTCATACCCAGCGAGGAATCATTACATGAACACCATTTTGAGACATCTGTGCAATACTTTATGCCAGTTTATGCAAACATAGCACTCTGATCCAGCGTCACCTTTTCAGCAGTGCCCACTTGTTCCACATTAAGCATCAACTTATCACAAAGCTCCTACTGGCTGGGCAGTGTGGCTGTAGCAGAGTTCTGTACCCTGCCCTCCCAGAACCAGCAGTGGGAGAACACTGTCCTTCATGACTGGGCCTCAATGGTTGCCCTGCATGGAGTCCTGGACTTGTTTCCCCATTCTTTCCTGGGGATTCAAGACATCACTTCCCAGTAGCTCATGCCTTAGGAGGAATGTCTCCACAGTGACCTTGTGAGCTGTGCCAGCTCAGGTGACCGCAGAGATCTCTAAAGAAGGACCACTTCTTTCTCTTATTGAGACAGGCAGGCAGTAAACAACAGTTTTGCAGCAGTCAGAGATGGCAGTGCCACCAGGGAACAATGATATGATAGATTTACTTTGTCAATGAGACAGGGAGAAAAGTCCTTTCCTCTTTGAACTTGGGCTCACCTGAGCATTGTAGCTGTGCCATAGACCTGGGCTCTCAGGAAAAGAGAATATGTGGTTAGACCACACCCTGGTATGTTGGACATCCTGCAAAAGTCTTTTTGTGCTAGAAAATAACTACTCTCTACTCCACTTGTGCAGGACCCCAAAGGGAACCGGATTGCACAGTGGCTGGATGTTACACCTGTGGGAGGCATTGTGGATCTGTCCTTCCCGCTGGCTGCAGAAGCACCGCTCGGAGAGTACAGCATCAGAATACCTGGCCTCACACGCACCTTCAGGGTAGAGGAGTATGGTAAGAGTCTCAGGAAGCTGGTGGCAGCAGAGAAAGGTGTATTGCCAGCCTCCAGCGCCCTCGACAAACAGAGCTGGATGGGCTATGCAGCTGTGAACAGCTGTGCTGGCAGTGCTGTCTCCTGGGAAGTGCAGCTGCCTGCCCGCAGGTATAATCACTTACCTTCACCCAGGCCCACTGGCTTTCTCCTCCCCCATATCCTGCAGATGGGGCTGAGACAATGTCCCCCAGCTGTGCTCTAGGGAGGAGACTGCCTACTCCTGTCCCATTCTCCTAGCTGGGCTGTTGGTGTATTCCTACCAGGCCATGTGCTGGGACAAAAAGAGAGATTTTTTTTTTTTTCTGTAAACAACCACTTTGGAAGGATTGGAGCAAATTAAATCTTTCTATTCTCACTGAATTATCTTTTTCTTGCTTTCACACAGTGCTGCCCAAGTTCAGTGTCTCCATCCAGATGCCTCAGGTGGTCACCATCCTAGAGGAAAACTTCCCTCTCCACGTCTGTGGCATGTGAGCTGACTTATCATGGCAGAAGGTGCATTTTTACTGGTTTGAAAAATGCACAGCCATCAATAACTGAGCTCAAAATGGTCTCTGCCAACCCTACCCTCACCCCAAGAGTTGGTACCCTGTCATCCTTTGCTAAGCAATTCTCCTGGATTCTCACCTTTCTCCATATTCTCTCTCCCTACATTCTCTGTGAGTCTGAAAGTGTGGCAGTGCATTTCGTCAATGCAGCATGTGCCCTACAACACAGCACCTCTGCTGTATTTGTTAGTGACAGTGTTGTAGGAATAATGGCTCAGCTTGTGGCCAACACAATGTCCCCTAGCCCTGCCTGGTAGGACTAGTGTTGACTTGGAGAGACCTCACCCACCACTGCCTTCTGTCTCAATCTGATGAGGCCGTTTGTACTTGTTGGCCTTCTCTGCTGAGCTGTATAGCTGCAAAGCACAGGGTAAAGCTGACATTCCTCACTCCTGAGCCAATGTTTCTGTGTGAGTGTAAGTCCTCTGTGCTCCCTTTGCCAGGTACACCTATGGGAAAGCAGTCCAGGGTAGCGTGAAGGCTGTGGTGTGCCGTAAACACATCCGCTATAACCGCAAGTCTTCCAAAGCCAAGCGCAGTATTTGTAAGGATTACACCGGCGAGGTGAGCACGGGAGACACCCACCCCTCTTGCAAAAGGGAGGGAAGAGGGCAAAGAGACAGAAAACTCCTTTGCCTTCATGATTGGTTAACAAATACAATTTCACGTTCCCAGACAAACGACGATGGCTGCTTTTCCACTAAAGTGAATACTAAGGTTTTCCTCCGGAAGCATGGTGATAATTATGATTTCAATCTGGAAGCTGAGGCTTTTCTAAAAGAAAGTGGAACAGGTAATAAAAACTGATTCTACACTTTGTGGAAAATCTTCTATTATACACTCATAAAATGTACTTGTCTTTGGGTTTTTATCTGTAAGACAATTGAGTTCATCCAGTCTTGATGCCTGCTCTGGCAGTAATTTTATTTTGACAGAGATGAGCAAAAGCTACTTCCTCTTGTCTTCTCATCACATTAAAAATGTGTACAGAGGTGGGCCAGGCCCAGTTTTCTTGTTCTTAAACCATGTTTTAGGACAGTCTATTGGAATGAGATGTAACTAGAGATAATCAAGGCCCTGACTGTGTACTGTTATTAGCTCCTCATTAGATTTATCTCCACGTCCCAGGTGGGAAGATAAGGTTTCTTATAATGTTCCTACTCTCACAAGATTTTGCAAAGCCTTCCTTTTCTTCCTGTGAAGAAAATGTTTCACAGCCCCTTGCCAGAAGCAGTGGCACACATCCACATAACTGCAGTGATTTCAGATGGGTACACAGGACAAAACCTCAGGCTGTGAACTGACATGGGAAAGGCAAGGAAAAATGCTGCCTTTTAGTGACTGCTGTGAGGAGGGAAGGAGAATGGAAGAGGACAGTTATGAGTAGGACCATCTTAAAGTGGGAAAGAGTCTTTGAGAAGTGTGTGACAGAGAGCGCCAGATAGACTGCTGTCATTCTGTCACTTCAGAGTGTAGGAGGCACCATAGCTGGGTGCATATGTGTCAAATGACTCCTGAAGCTGCATGGAGAAACTGCAATGCCCTATGAGTGATAGTCCACCCCTTAACTGAGGTTATCCACTCTTGATGCCTGCTTAGACACGATACTCACCTGCATGTGCCTCCTGTCTTTCCCAGGGGTGGAGTTCAACACCACTGAAAACTGCAAGGTCACTTTTGATATCACAGCTCTCCAGTTCTGGGGGACAAGCTACTACTATCAGCAAGGAGCTCCCTACTATGGAAATGTGAGTGAAAAGGGAAGAAACTTGGAAAGCCCAGCAGCTGGGTCTAAGCAGGTGGTAGGCACAGAAGTGCCCAGGGGTCCCCTTGTTCTGAGCTGCCCAAAGCTGCCAGCACAATCCTCTCTCCCAGACCCTCCTTTGATATATCTACCAAGAGGTTAGATGTCGCTACTGGACACAAAGTAAGTACACAGACGCTTGGTAAGTTCAAAGGAGAAAAAAGAGAAAGTTTTATTCAAGCATCTGGTATTTATAGAATTCCAGAGGTGACCGTGGATTGGAGGATGGAATTACCACCACTCCAACGACACTGGTCAAACTAACAGTCCATCAATTCTCTCCTCCCACAAAGAAGAATGCAAAACAATCATTATTTACATGAACAGTGCATGAGAACTCCAGTAGAAATATGTAAACAGATCAGAAGGCTGAAGAAGTTTTATGAGAACTTTAAAACTTTCAAAAGAACTATAAAAGAAAACTTAACACTTTTAAAAATCAGGGCAACAGTTATCCAAAGGAGTGACTGCAGGATCTGTGGCTTTGCTAGATGAGATGGCCGCTGCATAAATGGGAAAGGGTTGGAGATGTTAAATAACACACTGAGAGTCCCTTTGTAGAGTAGACTAGGACTTCTACTGGGATGTGGATTTTCAGTCCTGAGGCCTCCAACTCTCTGACTGTTCTCTGCGTTGTTACAGCTGGAACTCAGAAGTGCCAATGGGACACACATGAAGAACAAGAAGGTGATTCTTACAGTGTCCTATGGGAGCAGGAAGCAGACCAAGACCTACCTCACAGATGACACTGGGATGGCCTCCTTCGTCTTAGAGACATCAGCATGGGTCAACAGCAGTAAAGTTATACTACAGGTTAGGAACCAGTTATTGCAAACCAGTCTGGAGCTAAGCAGGTAACTAGAATTGAAATACATTATAAGGGCAGATCTATGCTGATACTTTACCCACATATTGAACTTGGTGTAGGTGGAAGTAGACACCCTACGCTGGGATAGTTCAGAGCCCACTGCTTAGTCAGCCTTGGTTTTGTGTGCATTAAGCTGTAAGAAATCCTCAGACATTTTTTTCTGTGCCACAGGCAAAATCCCAGCCAGAGGACTTGAACAGTAAAAACGTGAAGGTGTCTTACGGCACCGCATCGCTCCCACTGACGGCCTCCTACTCCTCCAGCCGCAGCTCTGTGAGGATCCAGCCCGTGCGGGCAGTGCCAGCCTGTGGGGATGTGCAGCAGGTCACTGTGCACTACCACATCCTTGCCACAGAGCTGGGCCACCGGGCTGCCAGAGCACACTTCTACCACCTGGTGAGTGCAGGCAGCGCCAGCGAGGTCAGCTCTGAGCCCGGTCTGTGTCAGCACAGGGCCCTTTGCTAGCCCAGAAACGTGGAGCAGAGGCACTCTCAACCCTTTGTTGTGTTCATTACCCTTTAGGTTATGGCCAGAGGGTCCCTCGTGCATCATGGCCAAACAACAGTGCTTCTTGATCCACCATCAGGTAAGAACATCTAACTCCCAGGAACAGATTAAGGGATCCAACAAGAAAGTCTTTCCAGCCTAGATGGAGAAGGAGAAAAAAAGAGATCTGAGACTAACAGGAAACCACAGAGCTGGCACAAAAAACCTCTAGGAAATATGCTATTTTTTTCTGTCTTTAATTTCCTTTTTTTTTTTTTTTTTTTTTTTTCTGCTGATCAAATGATGACACTGTCAGAGTTTATCTGCCAAGCAGGAAATTATCAGAGACTTCCAAGGTAACTTATGGAGTCTTTCTGGGCTCAAGTGGAAAGTAATTTCTCTTCCAAGTGCTCACTGTTGCCAAGGTGTGTCATTATATAAGGTCACTGCTGTAAAAACCTCCATCCTGGCCTAGCTGTGTCCTCCCCAGAAGCAAGGCAGAATAGTTTTTATGCAAGCATCTGTACAGAAGTATTACAGAGGAAGAGCACATTGCTGCTGTCATCCTTGGATTGCAGACTGCCTTGCACCTTGCTGTACTTTTTCAATTTTTTCCTTCCTTCAGGTCAGTACAGTGGGGCTTTCAATGTCAGTCTGCCCATTGATCTCATTTCATCCATGGCTACCCTCTTTGTTTACATTGCCTTCCCTGAGGGACAAGTGGCAGCAGACACCCTCCGTCTGAAAGTGTCCAGCTGCTTCAGGAACCGTGTAAGCAGTGCACAAAACATAGGGGGGCAGGTAGGCTGGAGGGTGGCTGATGATCTGCAGACTGGCAGTAGATGTGCAGCAGAATCCAATAACCCCAGCTTCCCCTTTCCTTCATCTCAGTGTCTGCAGTCCCCCTTTCTTCTGCTGTTCCAGGTGAAGCTCGGCTTCTCGGACGCAGTGGCTCTCCCAGGATCGGCTGTCCGTCTCCATCTGCAGGCTGCGCCAGGCTCCCTGTGCAGCATCCGTGCAGTAGACAAAAGTGTCCTTCTCCTGAGGCCAGAGGCTGAGCTATCCAGGGATAGTGTGAGTCACCTCATGCTGACCATTGCTGCCTAATGAGGCATGGTGGATATATCAACAAGTGCTTGAATGGGGACAGGCCATGGTTTAATGAGAAAAAATGAAGGCAAACATCAAACACCAGCCAAAATTTCCAGTGTCTACAGAGGGTTTATTCTGTTAGAATAACCCACTGTCATCCCCAGCTACAGCCTGAAGTCACATCCTTGTTAAAGTGCTTTACCACAGTGGCAAGCAGAAGGCAAGAGACATCCATCTCCTGAACTGATTCACAACAATGCTCTGAAAAAAAAGTTGTGTTTAAAAAAAATGCCACACATAGGATAGGCTTCTTGTCTTTGTTCCAGCTCACATAAACCAGACAGTCCTTCCATTCACAGAGTGTGCTCTTTGTGGTGTATTGGCAGTGGAAGGGTCGCTTTTCTCTTCTAGACCTTGGTGTAAGGGACACCTGAGTTGCCTCTTGACACTGTCTTGGTGGATCCAGGATGCGTCTTCAGTCAGACAGGAAGCTGTCCAATGTTCCCCCTATGCAGGGCAGGTGTCATTAGTGTTTGCATTCAGTTCACAGGTACAATTATTAAGCTAGAAGTGGCCACAGCTATGCAGCCATACCCCCGGAGGGGCTCATGTTCTTCTCTGGTGCTATACATGCAAAATTTGTGGAGGTTCTCTATAAAATTAAAAACCTCTTGGAGTTGGGTTTTTGTGACAGGCAGGACCTGAGCTTGGCCTCTGACATCACAGGAAATTTCTGGATAGAAATTAAAATCTTCCCACCTCTCACACTGACCTGTACTGTTCTTATTCTCTCTGTACAGGTGTATAATATGTTCAGCTATGCTCAGGAGCAGCTCAGCACCCTCACAGATGTGTACAGTGACTATTGCACTGTCCACAAGAGCCCTGGAATCACTGATGCCTCTCAGACAACCCTTTCACCAGGAATGATGTCACCATTCATGTACAACAGATACTCTTATGCAGTGTCCCAACCAGATGTTTATGAATTTCTTAAGGTAAATCTAAATTCTAAAAAGCCTGAAATATCAGAGCTGAGCACTTTTGTATCCCAGGTCAGCACAGGTAGATTCAGACTGTCTTTCCTGTAACTGCTGGTGACTTCACAATCTGAATTTACCAATCTTCTGAGCTAAGAGATCAATGACACTCTATGCTCCCAGTATGATAAATTCCCATTGATCAGGCAGATTCCTAGAACCCAACTCCCCATTAGTCCCTTCAGAGTTTCTAGGGATTGAAAGCAAAGTGGATTGTCAGCCTGTGTCAGAAAAAAAAATTGGAGGTTAGAGAAGCAAAGCACCTGAGAGAAAAGGGGAACCCAGGGAAAGGAGAGAAAGAATAGTAGAAAGGAATGGCAGTGAAGGATAGAGAAAAGTCTGGGTTAGGGCGGGCAGCGAACTGTGGTGCCAAAATAATGACTTTGTGTACAGGCATGCAGATGAAAGTGGTCACCCCCCACAATCCTTTGGCATGAGGACCAAGCCCTGGGAGCAGGACAGTTCTGCCTTCTCTCCCAATACAAATTTGTGGGTTGTGCTGATGTGCAACAGCACAGAGGAGTTGTGATATGCTGGGAGGAGGGGGAGAGACAGGCTCTCGGAATGCCAATGCCTCCACAGAAATATACCTTCTTTTCTCCCTCTTCTTTCCTCCAGAATGCAGGTCTAACATTTTTAACCGGCCTTAAAATCAAGTCTCCAATTGAATGCCGCACCCAGACCACTTTTGACTACGACTACATGTGTACATCTTGATTTTTCCTGTTTCTTTGGAGATCACGGGTAACATATAGGCTGCACATGGGCAGCTGAACATGCAGTGTATTTAGGAGCTGGGGATGGCTTACACACATGAGTGGGAGGTTGTACAGGAGATGTGCTCCACAGAGAGAGGGAAAGGCCCTGGCAGGAATGTGTGTCCAGGGGTACAGGGGTGGCTGCAGGGCTTGAACCTGTTTGCAAGCTTCATCTGGTGAGCAGGAAGATAGTATGGGCAAGAGGGGCATCTGTCTCAGGAAAGAAAATCTGTTTGTAAGACTAGGAAAGGTCTTTCTGGAAAGCAGAGAATGAACCAAGATTGGCATTGGGCAGTATCCCTGCTTTTCTGCAGGGAATGAGAGCAAAACTTTGAGCAGGTAAAATGTCTCATGGGGGAGCACACATACTGGAATCCCCATAGCCTCCTGGTTGTCTTGTGGAAGCCAGTAACGAAGTTGAGGGCATCTTGGAAAGGACAAGAGGGTTTGGGCTGGGGGTGGGAGGGAAGGAGAACTGAGCTTTTTCTGGCTGAGCTCTATGCTGGTTTGACAGTTGCTCTGCCTTTGAAGGAATGCTTGTATTCCCAATAGCTTTTGATGAGCTGGCAGACTTGGAGAGCTTGTACCCAGAAGCAGATGCTGCTGTTGAAGCTGCTGAGGCAGAGCTCACCGAGCTGGGCAGCGAGTCAGCACCAGCACGCACCTGGTTCCCAGAGACATTCATCTGGACTCTGGTTCCCATCAAGTGAGTAGTTATGGGCTGTGGCTCCACAGGGATACAGACTTTCTATCAGACACAGCAGAGAGAATGGGCAGGAGCAGAGACAGGGCATTATTGCCTTCTGTGCACAAAGTAAAACAAGGAGGTATGAAGAAGTGAATAAGGACAATGGAGTTATTGTCTCTGCTTGAGGTTTTCCAAATGCTTCTGGGAATTTAACATCGCACACTCTTTCGGGATGTAAGAGGCCTCCACAGATCCATGGCTCTACATTCTACACAAGGCAGGTCCTGTTAGATCAATTTGTAGTAAAATACTCTGTATCCCCAAGGATGGAGATTCCTCAAATTATGTTTCCATGTTTGACCATCCTTATGGTGTTTTCTTATGTCAGGTCGGAACCTCCCACATTCCAGCTGTGTGTTACCTTTTGTCCTGTCAATATCCACCTCAGAAGAGACATGTTCCATTGTCTCCACACTTTCCCAATAGGAAGTGTCACACTATACTCCATGGCACAGACTGGGTGTATAACATGGGCCCTTGTGAGCCCTCTTTGTCCACACAAAAGAGGAATTTCAGGTGCAGCACTGCTCGGAAGCAAATTTTGTGTTGCATTTTCCTCTCAAGTCATTCCTTGCCCACCTATTTGCTATCCTTCCCATACCTCTGTCCTACATGCCAGGAATCCCCACACCTTCACATGCCCTTCCATTTCATAGTCTGAATTTCTGCATTTGTCTTCCTAAGAGAGCTCTTTCCATGGTGGGGATAACCTCTTCCACTCTGTTTTCTCCTCAGTGATTCAGGGGCTGCTGAGCTAGCTGTCACAGTACCTGACAGTATCACAGACTGGAGAGCCATGACCTTCTGCACCTCGGAGAGCCATGGCTTGGGAATCTCAGAGACCACCAGCCTGCAGAGCTTCAAGCCCTTCTTTGTGGAACCCACTTTGCCCTATTCTGTTTTCCGGGGAGAGTCCTTTCCCCTGAAAGTCAAAGTCTTCAGCTACCTGAAGCAGTGCATGGCGGTGAGTGGCTCCCTCCAGGATGGTTTGGAGCAGAGGAATGTGTTCTTCTTTACTAATAGAGACCCAAACAGAGGAGCTGCCTGCTTAGGCACTGGGCAAAAGACACCGAAGAAGTTGTACAATTTAGTTCTACACAGAGCCATCACTGACCAGTTTATCCCTCCCCAGAAGCCAAACTTTACAAATGTAAATTGCATGTCCATGGGACACTGCTGGTGTCCCACAGATACTGCAACAGGCCGTCAACATACTCACCCCTGGCTTGTGGGATTGACTATTATTTGAATCGAGGGCCTCAATGGAAAAACACAGCAGCAACAGAAGCTCTGTAACCTGAACTCCATTTTGTTTCACCTTTAGCTCCAGCTTAGCCTAATGGACTCCAGGGATTTTGAGTTTCTTCATGAAAATGTCAGGTTCACTCTTTGCCTGTGCCCTGATTCAGCAAAAACATTTTCCTGGGATGTGAAGGCTACAAAATTAGGTAAGGGGTCAAGGGAGAGGCAGGGGTGGGAAGCGCTGGCAGAGCTGCTTGAGGAAGCCAGAGCTGGCCCACTGTGCAAAGCATGAGTGAGCAGTCCGAGGCTGAGTGAGCAAAAACATAGGCACAGCTGTGCCAACCGGCCTCTTGATGTTTTGTTTTTTTAGGGAAGGTGAATTTCACTGTCACTGCTGAGGTGGTGGAGCAGGAAGATGTTTGCACGGAGCGTACAGCTGTTGTGCCTGAGTCTGGAGGGAAGGACACAGTGGTTAAACACCTGCTGGTGAAGGTCAGGCTGCACTGTGGGGTTCTGGCAAGGCTGGAGCTGGGTCGGGCTCAAGACAGTCTGGTGGGTGGCTCTGGGAAGGAGGAGTCAGCCAGGGAGGTGGGCACATTTCTCAGGGAGACTGGTCAAGGAGAGATTCTGAGGGTAGATTGGACTGGAGCACCTCGACTGGATGGGACAGAAATGTCAGAACTGCTTGCTGGCAGGGCAGTGGGGTCAAAGGCCATGCAGCAGCTGAGAAACCTGCTTCCCAGAACAACTTCACTGTTGGCATGGATATCTCTGCTGTCTATATGAACCCCTTTGCCAAGGCCCACAAGGATGGAAAAGGTGCTTGCACAAAGGTGGGGTGCTGCACAGCTGCTCTCTGATTTTACCTCTCTCCCTTCTGAGCTGACCAGCCTTTTCCCCACCAGGCAGAGGGGCAGCTGGAGGAAAAGACCCACACCTCATTCCTGTGCCCTGAAGGTAGGTGCAGAGACCCCCAAGTACTGTCTTACTGGGGCTGTGCTTGTGCACAGAACAGAGGTGAGATGGAAGCAGTGTGGTGTTTGAACACCTCTAGGACTCTCTGGAGGTGTGTAGGGAGCAGAAAGTCAGGGATCTTGGAACGTTTATGGGTAGGCAAAGCTATTCAGCCCTACCCAGTAGTAAAAGCTCCTGGCAACATCAAGCCACTGCCTGACCACATCACAGACCCTCATCAATGGGTGGCTGGATCTCTATGTCATCCTCTCTTTTGAATTACTGATTTCACCAACTGATTAGGTGATCCCAGACCTGTTTACACCATCTCTTGGGGGACACCTGTGACTCTGCCATCTTTCTCATGCCTGTTGTTCTTATGTTTTCGCCATTTGCAGGAACTTCAGCTTCAGAGACCATCTCTTTCACTATGCCAGAGAACATTGTCCTTGGGTCAGAGAGAGCCCACATCTCTTTCTTAGGTGAGTTTTTAGAAGAGTCTTGGGAAGTAATATTTTTCCCTGCAGGACACATCTCTTCTGTTGCCACTGTGTCTTCTTTAGCAAACAAAGTAATGAAAGGGAATATGTACAGCAAGATGTGGTACTGTCTTCCAGAGCAGTATCCTATCTCTCCTATACAAGTGGCACTAGATGGATGTATAATTTCATCAAGCCAGGGGAAAGACAGCCAAGTACCATATCCCTGTTCCTACAGTCTCTAGACATGACGTGAGCAGAGGTGAACTGAGATCAGTCTTTGCAGGTTACCTGGAGAATCTGCGAGACTAGAGTTGTTTTACACACAAGAATGCGTATGTATGGCTCCCAAAGCTGTGGTTCTGTCCTACAGGTGACATTATGGGAACAGCACTGGACAACATAGATGAGCTTCTCCAGATGTCCAGTGGCTGTGGTGAGCAGAACATGGTTCATTTTGCCCCAAACGTCTTTATCACGCGATACCTTGAAGAAACAGGACAGCTGACTCCAGAAATCAAACAGAAGGCAATTGGCTATCTGGAAAGCGGTGAGTGAATTTCGGCTTGTTAAGCTGGTGATGTCCACTACAGTACTTGTGTGGAAGGAGCCTCAGCAGAGGCCTGGTGCTGAGTAGGATTTATGCAGCATCACTTGCCCGGCATCATGGTAATTGCAGCAGTGTAAATCAGGCTAATGCATGTCAGCTGAACAAGCAGTACACGGCACCCCTCTGCTAAATTCCTCAGAGATAATGCTCTCTGTAATGATCAGCAGGATTGGTGGGGCAGGTTGGCACCTGGAGAACAGGACAGGCACACAGCATCTTCACTATCCCCAGCCTCTTCCTGCAGGATATCAGCAGCAGCTCCTGTACAAGCACACAGACGGTTCATACAGTGCCTTTGGGGAAGGAAGTGAGCCAGGAAACACTTGGTAAGCAACAATATCCAAACATAACTGAGGAACAACAAACAATTTGACCTGGTTAGGCTCGAGCTAGCTTGGATTTTGGTCTGGGGAAACTGAGGTAGTCTGAAGGTGTGGAGTTTTGAACAGAGATTGCTCCTGAAACCTTTTGGAAGGTGTCATGGCTTAAGCCCAGATGGAAATTAAGCACCACATGGCCATTCGCTCAACACCATCCTCATGCCAAATCCAAAACATGGCACTGTAACAGCTACTGAGAAGAAATTAACTCCACTCTAGCTGAAATCAGAGCAATAATAATCTCTTACTCCGTAACATTTATGTCATGCCAGGTTTCACACTCCCCAATATGCTGTCACTTTCCCTATTTATCTGTTTGAATAAATATACAAAATCTTCCTCTTAGTCTATGGAACACCTTGGTCAAAAGTGAACTAACCTGAAGCACCCTGTTGGATTGTTAGTTCTTGGGCACCCCAAATGAGACCTATTCTGAAAACTTGGCAGCAAAAGCACCTTCTTTACAGGTTTTTAGAATGCCCAAACAGGATTTGGAATAGTGAGCTCACTAAATGTCAGCCCTCCAGGGCAGCAAAGTACCCTGTTTGAATTAGAAGAGCTCTGAAGGTCTGAAAAATTGAATTTTTTTCTCTTGCTGCACATGGCTCTGACCTCAAACTTCTTGAGCTCATGTGCATTGCTTCTAGTTCTCCATCTGCACAGGGGCTGTGGCCTGCTGGTATTTCTACAGGGAGAATGTAGTAGAAGACACAGAGACTCCTGTCTCCTCTTGGAGACATGCATCAAGTGACCATTCAGTTCTATATCTTTCTTCCTTCCTTGGCTCTAGGCTTACTGCTCTTGTCCTGAAGACCTTCAGCCAAGCCCGGGACTTCATCCACATAGATGAACAAAATATAAAGGATGCTGCCAGTGCCCTGATTAAAAGTCAGACTCCATCTGGCTGCTTCAAGAGTGTGGGGAAGCTCTTCAACAATGGTCTGATGGTATGACATGTCCTGGTGGTTTATTAGGTACCTCAAAGCTCCTTCACTTTCTGGTCCAGTTTGAGTGCCAAGGACAAATTAACTCTGTTGCAGGAGGAAGGCTCTGAAGTGCCCAGGGTCACCCTTGGGTGACACTCAGGGTTGCCTAGTCACTGTGGCACTTTTTCAAGTTATGAAGGTTTGTGTTTGATGTGCACTTGGAAACTGAAATAGTGCCCTGCCCTACCTCCATCTCAAGGGCTAACACTCACCACCTTGCAGCTGGGTTGTGGGAACATCACTTTCCCCTGGCATTGAAATCTGCTACTGAAAATCTTATATTTGGGAGAAAGGGGAATGTGCTCAGCAGAGGGAGGAAATCAGCTACCCAGAAGAGATTGGGGAACCCTGGCAGAGAGCTGCTCTGGTAAGCAGGACCTTTAAAAGTGGATACCAGTCCTGTCACTTCTTTAGGAGAAGGAATAGGAGCAGCACTGTTACCTATGCTGGCATTTGCTAGGGGACCAGAAAGCACTGGAAAACTTTCCCCTCTCCCTTCTCATAGCATCCCTCATCTGTGTTTTATGATGTCTGCAGGGTGCAGTGGAGGAAGGCCTGGGGCTGAGCTCTGTGATCGTGGTGGCTCTCATACACTCGGGGATGCCTCACTCCGTGAGTATCGGCAGCAGGAGAGGGCTGTGTGTGCAGCCTCTCGCAGGCACTGCCTGCGCTCTGCCTTTGGTTTCCACCCTGCATTCCCTTCCCAAACACCCTGCCCATAACGAGAGTGCTTTCAATTGTATCCTAGGACCCAGTTGTGGTGAAAGCTCTGAAGTGTATAAGGGACCTGGTCCATGCTGATACTGGCAGTCCCAACCTCTACAGCCTGGCACTGGCTGCAAACGCCTTTGCAGTGGCAGGGGACAAGGCCCTCAGGCAGAAAATCCTCAAAAGATTGGATAAGGCTGCCATAATATCAGGTACCACAAACTCTGTGGCGGGAAGGAGGGCCACTGGCAGAACTGTGTGGAAGTCTCTGGGTTGAATAACCATGGGAGTGAAGGGCAGGAGTAGGGAAGGGGGAGTACTGCCAGAGCTTTGTGGGGAGTCCAAGGCTTGGCTATACAAGCCTCAGTTTACCAAGCTGTCCCAGGTGATATCCACACTGTGAGACAGATTGTCTCTACCGATCATCTCACAGTCCTGGCCTCCCAGTCACCCAAACCAGGGGAGCTTCACGGATATTGTGGAACTCCTCCTGAACCTGGAGGCCTAAGGTTTTGCTGGGAAAAGCAGGGTGTGGGGAGCAAATAGGGAGCTATGCGTGTGTATCTTGTCCAACTGTATTATGTGCAATATACACGTTTAATAGCTATATACAGGGGCTAAATAGAACTCCAGGGTCACTACATACAGCTACACACTCCATAAATGTTCCCACTCCACCTCTAGATGACCAAATATTCTGGAGTCAACAGTCCAAACAGGAAGAAGATTCCCTATCTTGGTATCGGGCTCCATCTGTTGATGTGGAATTGACATCTAGTATCCTCATGGCTCATCTTACAAAGTCAAGTTTGTCATCAGATGAAATCAAAAAGGCATCCAAGATTGTGTCTTGGCTCACCAAGCAACAAAACCCATATGGAGGCTTTGCTTCAACCCAGGTAATTCCCCTGAGCCATCATCATCATCATCAGATTTGATGCTGATTTTTTGAGAGCAGTGGGTTCTAACAGCCCATAATAAAAAAAGGAAAATGAATAAATATAAAAAGGATGTATGGATTTATAAGTCCTAGGAGTTATGGATAATCCCATGCTAAAAGCCCAAGGGAAAAGCTCAACTCTTATTGTGCTACAGCTGCAGTATGAGGGAGGAAAAGGCTAAGGACTGGGTATGCATAGGAAGTAGGAATCCTACTTTTCCTGATGGTTTTTCTTTTTCCTCAGGACACCGTTGCTGCTCTGGAAGCCCTAGCCCTCTATGCAACCAACATCTTCAGCAAGGATAGCCCTGATCTCCAGGTTTCTCTCACTTCCAAGGGTTTCAGCCAAAACTTCCGAGTAGACAAAAGCAATCGGCTCCTGCTGCAGACAGTAGAGCTGCCAGCCATTCCCCAGGATTATACCCTGCATGTGCAGGGCCATGGGTGTCTTTTCCTGCAGGTAAGACCAGCCAGGAAGAAGTAGTCTGTCTGGTGAAAACCTTGAAAGTCAGAGAACATCTTACCTTGCTACTTAGCCAACCAAGAAAACAAACTGATGTAGTAACTTGCAAGAATCTGGGCTTCAAGGCTGGTGGGGGTAGCTGTGCTCCAACAGGAAGGTAACATCTACTGCCCAGATGAAATCTGGATCATCTCCATCCAGCCAGAGCAGCTTCTTTCCTCCAAGAAATCCACCAGGAGCAGTGCACTACTAGAAGAACCTCTGCTTCTGTCACATGGTTTTCTCTTACACCAATACAAGACAGCAAACAGTAGCTAGTCTAGACAAGAATACTCTCCAGCAAAGAACCCCCTGCTATTCTTTGCCATCCAGCTTCTTTCTGTCCTGGCAGGCCATCCTGAGGTACCACATCCCTCCACTGAGGAGCGAGGCCACCTTTGCTGTATCCGTGCAGACGGAGTGCACCGTGCCCGACGCCTCCCGGTTCCCCGTCACCATTCGTGCTCGGTAGGAGACACTCAGTTTCCCCTTTCCTCCCCTGTGCTGAGAGACTTCTGGCACCATTCCAGTCTCTTGCTGGCAGGGTTCCCCTTCACTCGTGGCGTCCAAGTGCTGAGGGGACCCCACTGTGCTCTCCCCAGCTGGGAGAGGCACAAGGCCCCAGAGGGGTGGCTCAGGCTGTAGTCCTGTCTTGTCCTATGCCCCTCACCATGAATTATACCAAGGTCTGTGGGTCTCGGCCCCTTCTAGGATTAGGTCTCAAAAGACTAATGGTGTGAAGGTCCTGTGGGACTGCCACATACTCCTAAGTGTTCCCTCTTCTGCTCCTGGCTGACTGTCACACCACTCTCCTCTGCTGTACTCCTGCCTGGTTTGGGACAGAACTGCCAAGAGAACAGGCACAGGATGTGATATTCCCTGCCATGCCTAAAGTAGGTAACACAAGAAGGCTTCCAAGGAACATACTCTCCTTGGCACAATTAAAAGTGAGCTCAAGGGAAGCACAAAGATTTATTACAGTGCAGAAGCAGGTATGCTTACAGGAGAAACACTGGAAAGAAAGGCACATTCCTCCACCTGAGTACCAAAGCTGGGCTGGAGTATCTGGAGATCATGGCTCAGAAAGTAACATTAGTGCTGTCCCCTGGGTTCCTGCTGCAGCTACACAGGGAACCGTGTGTCCACCAACATGGTCCTGATCCAAGTGGAGCTGCTGTCTGGATACAGCCCCGTGGCAGGTTCACTGGAAGAGGTGAGACTGCGAATTTGTGTCCAGCTGGGATGGGAACAGTGATGGATGTCCATCATGCAGGACTGTATGCTGAAATGTGATCATTCCTGTGGGCAGAGAAACAGGGTTATTCTCTTCCTAAGAAGTCCTTATACTCAAAGTCTCTTCCAAGCTGCACCTTGCCTTTCCCTACATCAACAGTTTCCTTGGCCATATAAATATTTGCCCATCCTCTCACAAGGACAAATACCCCTGAATATTTCTGCTTTTTATTAAAGCCTTTCTGATTTTTTTTCCCTATTTTCAGCTAAAGAAAATGCCTTTAGTGAAGAAAGTTGAAAGCAAAGCTGACCAAGTCGTTCTCTACCTGGAGGAAGTGAGTGTAATTTGGGCATCATTAAAGGGGCTATGGACTGACAGCTTTTATTCTTGTTTTTTGGTTTCATTACTATTTTAACTCTCCAGAGCTGTTGTTCCTGCATACCAGCCACATTTGCTGATATGCAGAAATGTCAGTTAGCAGTTGTTCATCTGTAGAGCCACTTACAGGGCTACTTAACTTGAGTGAAACAAGGCAAACTCTCATGTTAAGCCTATCTGTTGGCGCTGTTAGAGACTATTGAAAGCCCATATATATGGTGCCTGAGTAGGACTGGGGAGTAGTAATAAGATCGACATAGCAAACCCAAGCAAGCCTGAAGTCTTAGAAAGTCTTAAGCAACCTGAATGCAGCAGAGTGCATGCAAGATTGCTCATGGATTTTGCCAAGTTCGTTTGAAAGTAAACCAGACGGTTGTGTGAACAGAAGTGTTCACTCCACAGCCTCATGAATGAACAGATTAACAACCACTCCAGCCTTTTTCTAGCTCCATGAATACCTAAACAGCACCAGAAATGAGACCTGCCATGTATTTAAAACTCCAGCATTTCTAAGGAGCGTTTCTGTGATTCTTCATCCTCAGTTTCTGTCAGTAGGCTGAGCTAAGCTGGCCCCATAGAAGTGGCTTAGTGTCACATGAATGCATTAGGCTTGCAGAGCTGCTGATTTCATTACATCTACAACACAGAGCAGAAAATACAGATAAATATTTCAGCTCAAGCTGCCAGGTAACACAAGGTGCACCACAATCAACAGCAGGTCATGTAACCACTACCCTACAGCAGATGTTCGTCCACAGCCTGTATTTGTCTGCTGAATGATGGGGGTTATGTGAGACTGGAGAATAAGAGCTGTGGTCACTGTGAATAAGAAAGTAGCCACTGAGGCCAGGTGCATGAAGGAGCTCAGTGTAGAGTTGGATGGGAAGGTGGGATTGGTGGGAACACTAGCACGCCATTTAGGTAGTGCACACTGACTCCGTAGGTTTTTGATGTTCCTCATGAGCTGAGTTAAATTTGGTGACCATAAAGGGAAGACAGAATGGGAAGTAAAAGATATTTCTGAGACAGACTAGAAAGCAGAATAGATGTGTTACAGAGGTGAGGTCTCTACAGAGCCTGAGTGCAAGTAGGTGAAAGGGGTTGTCTTACAGGACTTTTTTGTCTTTTTCTGTTTTTAATCCTTTCATTTCTTGGTCTTAGCTGACTAGACAGCCTCAAACCTACACTTTCCTGGTGGAGCAGGACATGCAAGTGAAGGATCACAAACCAGCCAATATCAAGATCTATGATTACTATATGCCAGGTGAGCTCAGATGCTGCAAAAACCACCCAAATGTACTTCTGGAAAGAAAATTCCTGAGTTTTGTTGAGTCTAAGGCAGTACCATCTCTGACATGGTTATCTGACTGTCCCTTAGAAGCTCTCTAGGCATGAACTTAACCTGTTGGTTTTCAAAATGGTAGTTCCTCCTCCCTCTGGCTCCAGAACTTGCAGGCCTGAAGCTGGTGTATAGAATCACTGAGGCTCTGGCTCTCCCAACAAGAGTGGAGCAATGAGCTGTGCTTTTGAGCACTTATTTTGTCGGAGATAGAAAAGGCAGAGGGACCATAGTGGGGGGAGGACTCAGAAGATTAAGGGCCCCCTTAGAAGAATAAAACCAAAACCAACTTGTCCTCTGTGCTGTGGGGTTCCTAGTGGGAAGAAAAGCTAGAAACGAGTCAGGGATTGCTATTCCTTCAGCAAGTGAAGCATTCATAACTGTGATGGGCCTCTCTGGGACTTGCAGCCTCTTGCCTTGTGTGAATCCTGACCAGCTGCAGAGGCATGGGCACACACCAGTGGTTTCATGTGTCACATTGTCACGTAGAGGGAGTTGTAGCCTGTAAACTGAGGGAACATCTCTCCTAGGAACAGTGGCACAATGCTGGGTTGCTTTTGTGGGTTTTTGACAATGAACCTCACCAGCACTTTCTTTCTTGTGTTCCAGAAGAAACTGCAATGATGAGCTACAGTGTCCCATGCAAGTGAGGTGAGGGCCCAACACCTCTTTTATTATCACAGGCATGGTCCTGAAGAATATGGAAAGGTAGGGAGATGCAGGCAAAGCCCTTGGTCAAGAAACTTGCCAGACTGCAGGTCCAGGGTAGAAAGCAATTTGCAATGCCAAGTAAGGATGAGTTCTTGTATCCCAGTGGTTAAACTGAGGGAAAGAGAACTGAAGTAGAAGATTTGATGTGACAAGATCATGAGAAAGCTGGAGATATGTTTTAGAAAACAAGGACTGCATGTACCAAGTACTATCACCAGTCCTGTCCCTTTGCATAAAAATACACTTTATTCAAGTCACCACAGTTCCCTTTCCTGACACTTTCCCTGTAGTTTCACATCCCTCCAGCCCTGTGTACACAACATGCCATGCTCACCTTTACTGCAGGGCCTGGTCACGTTTCAATGCCAAGCCTTTCTCCATCTCAGCCTGCCTTCTGATCCACACTAGAGAATGGACCCCTGCCCATCCTCTTTCCATGCTGAGCAAAGACAAAGCTTAAGCTTGACCAGCACCTGTCCCTGCTCCAAACTTTCCTTGCACCTGTGTGCTTTCCTGCCCACAGCCCACAAGACTGGGAAAACCACCTGCTCCATGAATCACCTGAGGGAGGCACACAGCCCTGTCCTGGGATGTTTGCCACAAGCTCCACACCCTTACCGGAGATTCTGATATAAGCTTTGTATAGATAAAGTAAGAGAGAATCTTAGCTCATAAAACATTCTAAGTTGGAAGGGACCCACAAGGATCATGAAGTCCAGCTCCTGTCCCTGCACAGGACAGCCCCAAGAGTCACACCATGTGCCTCACAGCACTGGCCAAATGCTTCTTGAACTCTGTTGGTTTTGGTGCTGTGATCACTTCCTGGGGAAACCTGTTCCAGTGCCCAACCACCCTCTGGGTGATAAGAGCTCTGTCCTTGGCCTGACAGTACCATTTGTCACAAGGTACAGAAAAGGCCCCTAAGTTCCCAGTAGTTAGTTTTAATACTTCAGGAATTTTTTTTTTTTTTTTTTTTTTTTTTTTTTTTTTTTTTTTTTTTTTTTTTTTGTCCTTTATTGTCTTCACAGGAACAGGGATAGATCCCTCCTCTGTAGTCTCTCCCCATCAGTCCTTTGTCGCCCCTGCCAACTGTCACCACATGGAGATACGAAGAAAAGAGAAAATGCTTGGAATTTCCTGCTGAGCAGTTAGTTTCTGGAAGGCTCAGACTGTGTGTGGCATCTTATTAAAAGTAGAAGACTAGAACTGTCTGATTGAATGATTATTCAGGTTTACTGGTTTTCTCCCAAACCAGGAAAATTGCATTTAAGAGCAGCTGGGAGAAATAAATTCTCTACCTCTGCTTATGTACAAAACCCTGCCCCTCCAGGTGCAGACGTGCACAGGAGGAGATAGAGCATTGAAAAAGCTGATCCATATTCCTAGAAACAGATACTTCCTGTACTAGCTGGGTACATTCCCCACTGCTTATCATTTCCCTTCCTGTGTTTGCTTATGTTCCGTGTTTCCCGCCCAAGACCCACCATTTATTGATGCCACTGTTGGTGTCACACAGGAATTTGCTGCTTACCTCAACTACAGACAGCATTGTATTCAGCCAAGGCTCGCTCCTCTGCAAAAGGAAAGGAAGAAGGAGATTACACATGGATGCACACAGAGAAGACTTCATGTCTCTTCCCAGCCAGAGAATCAGGAACCCAGCTCTCCACTCACAAATAGTAGGAAATCTGCAACCCACCTGGCTGGTAGTAATCATAGATTTTGATGCTGGCTGGTTTCAGGTTCTTCACCTGAATTACTTGTTCCAGTTGCAGAATGAAAGTCTGAGATTCATCGTTGAGCTAGTGGAGATGGAAGGAAATTAGCAAGGAAAGGGAGAAAAAGTAACAGCATCTTCATCTTCCCTTATTTGAATGTTTTCCTGCACTATATTTCTCTAATCCATTAGAGATTCTAGACTTTAAAATGGAGTATTGTGTAAGGAATTGCACACAATATTGTGCTAGGAATTTTCACAATATTGTGTAGGAATATTCCAATACAATGACAATGAAATTGGGCAAACTTCCTCTGCCCCCAGTTCTAACAGTGTTCTTTTCTTACCTAGACTAGTCTCAGGCTTCTCATACAGCTCCCTGTCCTCTGACCTTTTGCTCTCACTGTGCCACACCAAATAATTTTGTTCTCACTTACCTTCTCCAGATAAATGTAGACCACATTAGCTTTCACTTCTATCTTCTTAACAATGGTTCTGTTCTCCAGCTAGGATAAGAAACAATAATAGAATGAAATGTGTGAGTATTTTCCTTAGGGATTCCTGACCTGACAGAGCCAGTGTTTTGGTGAGGGGAAGGTATGAGCTGGACTCTGTGTGGAACTGTGCATTTCTCAGTGGTTGTATCTTTGCTAGTCCCTTTTGGACATCCCTTGTGAGCATCTCATGTGTGAACCACACTGACCCTGCCCAGGGCTGAGGAATCTCCCCCTCTGGGGACCAAAGGCTGTGTGTGTAGTACGTATTCTTGATATGTTGGTCAGCAAATGGGTGCAGGCACCAGTAGAGATTCTTATTTCACATCACTGAGTGTTCAACTGCTTTTAAAGACCTGCATGGGGGCTGTGATTTAGTTTATGATTTAATTGGAAAACAAAAGAATATTTTTAGCTAGAGATAGAATATCTCTGAGAAATCCTGTCTTAGACTTTCTGACAAACAAATCCTGGTGTCAGCACACCCAGCAGTACACTTTGTTCCTGGCCCAAGTCCAAACACTGGCAGTGGGAGAAGCTGAACCACCTCTGATCTCCCTTGTGGGGGCTGTAAGAAAACAAGAGGTTTTGGTGCAATTGCAACAGCAAAGGTCTCCTGCAAATTTAGCTACCCCCTGGCCTGAAATCAACAATTCTCAACAGGAGTAAGCAGGCAGGATCCATTTACCATAGCTGGGTTTTCTTCTCCCAAAGTTCTTACCAGCATTCTGGATCTGGAAGTCATGATGAATCCGGATAGCAGGGAGACCTCTATGATCACCATGTTGGATGTGACTCTGCTCCCCATGTAGCTGGAGAAGAAAAAAAACAGACAGAGTCTGACTCTGTGAGGACAGTGCCCTCCCAGCCTCTCTTCCCTCCACCACCACGCTGAGCCAGGTATCCCATCTGGGACTGGGGGCATGGCAGCCACTGCTCCCTCTCACAGGAGTTAGCCAGCACCTTCCACCTGTCCAATTCACCCTCTGTCCTGTTCTGGGTGTCTCCCAGAGCCCTGAGCCCTTCCTGGTTGCTGTTCCCAAGCTCACTCCATCCTGCTGGAGGAGGAAGCAGCCCTTGGAGTCACCTGGCGAGGATGCGGGCGGTGAGGACACGCGGATTCGCCTGGCTGCAGTTGTTCAGCTCTGTGCTGACACGCAGCGTGAAGATCACAGGAGTCCGTGGGGAAAGCTCGTGGTACCTCAGCACTGTCTGCAGGGTAAGGGCCATGAGCAGAAAAGACAGGCCAGGCATGATCTCATGCAGGAGAAAAGAGGCAGAGTCCTCCTGCCCCCACGCTCATCCCAGCCCCTCACCTGAGCGAAGACACAGCTGCTGCCGTGGGCCTGCAGCAGGAACTGCCCCGGGATCTCCAGCAGCGCTGCCTGCTGCACCAGCAGCCGCTTCTGGCGGCTGACCTGGAATGCCTTCCCGAAGGCCCTCTGGGACCTCACCCTCACCACTGCCTGGCCTGAGGTGCTGAACGTCCTCGCTGCGTATTTCGCTAAGGCTTGCAAGGCAACAGCTGTGTCCTAGAGAGGGAGGGAGAGACAGTCACTCCTCTGAAAGCATCAGCCGTAATGGAACTGGCTTGGAAGAGGAATTCCTCAAGAGGACTTGTGCTGCCAGCCTAGGGTATAAAAAGATCCACGGGGAGCTGCTGGTTACCTGGGTGGAGGCAAAACCCCCGTAGGCATTTTGCTGCCGTGTCAGCCAGGCCACAATGCCAGCTGCAGTTGTCATGTCACCGGTGTGCACCCGTGGCTTGGAGAGGTACGCCAGGAGCACATAGGCTGTCAGCTCTATGTCCACTGACTGAGTGCCAGGCCAGAAGTCAGTAGAAGCTGGAGAGCTTGGCTTGGGGCTCCAGTGGATTTGTCCTCCTGCAGAAGGGAAAGGATTATGAAGGATATTTAGGGAGGACGTAATTTGGGTTTCAGAGGAAGCAAACCCCACAGTGCTTTCAGGGCTCCTTCAGTACATTCGCTACACTCAGGCCAGGATTGCTTTCTTGAATTTATTCTCCAAGGCTTCACCTTATTTTACAAGGTGAAGCCTTGGAGAATCCTTGTTTTACAAGGTGAAGCCTTTACAAGGTTTTACAAGTTTTCACAGACTCCTATCTCCTCCCTCAAAGGGATCTTGAAATCCTCCAGTCTGAGGAAACAATTTCTAAGTCACTCTCACAGTTTGTGAAATACCTTATTGTATTTTCAGTCACACAATGCAGTTATTGCAAAATACAAGGAGCATCTTATATATAAATATATTATATATAAATACATATATCATTTTCAACTGCTGTAGCTTGGCATACATTACTCCAGCAGGCAGCACCTGATTTGATGGCCTGTTCCTCCAGTTTGTACAGCAGCTCCTGGGTTGTCTCATAATCCCCAGCCAGGGCAAAGGCATAGGCCAGCAAGGCTTCTGTGTAGATGTTGGTGATGTTGTGAACCACCTTCTGCAGGCAGCGGAGAGTAGTCTGCATCAGCTTGCCCTGTGTTGGGAGGAGACATGTGCCAAGCTCTGACAGGGGTGAAATAGAGGCTGGGGAACTCATTCTATGAGTCTATTCTATTCTATTCTATTCTATTCTATTCTATTCTATTCTATTCTATTCTCCCAATGTAGCTCCAGAGAAACCCGTTAATTTACAGACTGTCTTCAGAAAACAGGCAGTGCAGCCCCGGTGTGCGCTGGGAGCCATTGCCACCAAGCACTACTGCATCAGGCAGTTTCACAACACCGGCTCTTTTGAGGAATGACTTAATCATTTGACCAAACATTGACTCATTCCCAGAAATTCCCACCCAGTTCATAGCCTGGAGAACACCAGAATCACAAGCTGGCATACCCCCATGGTGGTGCCCACGAGAGCAGGAGGGAGCAGGAGCAAGCTGAGCATGCTCACCTGCAGTGGCAGACCCATCTCCAGCAGTGCTGCAGCGACATAGGCCCCCAGAGAAATGTCATCATCCATGCTGCCCTGTGAGGGGAACACATCTTTCACTCTTACAGGGTGTTAGGAGGACCCACTCCTCAGAAGGAAAAGCATTCCTCTCATGTTTTCCCTCTTTTTAGGGCTTGCACAGGTTACAGAATGACTTCCTAGGATCCTTTGAGATCCCACAGTCTTCTGCTGTCAAAAATCTCTCCAGTCATTCCCCAGCAGTGCTACCTGCCTGGCCCACCTTTACCTTCAGGGAGGAGTGAAAAAAGTTCCCTTTGGTGGCAAAGCAGCCACTGGGGAGCTGGTTTTGCTCTAGCCAGCGTAGGGCATCCTGGATGTTCTTGTCATCTACATAGATGTATTTTCTGGCTTGGCCAAAATTCTTGAGTACAAAAGCTGTCAACCTAGAAAGAGGACGCGTTGTAAGAAAAAGAGGCAAAAAAAAAAGGCAAAGAGACAGTCAGAGGTCTCCTGGTGCTTGTCCCTGAGCTAGTGACATAGGGGGGGTGCAAAAAACAGTAATTTTCATAAAGAAAGTCAATCTAAAAGTGGAAATGGTCCACAGGACCCACCCCAGTGGCTCCTTTCAATGCCTCTGTCTCTACAGATATGCTACTTACATACTACTTAGTAATTTCACAGGTGAAAACCCTCCTACCCCTTATACTTTTACCTGTTCCACTTTATCGCCCCCAAATTACTAGAGACAATCTGGAATTCCCGAGTTTCTTCCTCCCTTCCTTTCTCCATTCATCTTAGCCAAGCACCATAGATGTATGCTGTGCCAAGGCAGCTCCTCTTCACTTACTGAGAAGAGGATTTTTTATTGCTCTTACCTGAATTTTTCCAGACATGTGTACCCCTCTTGGCTGCCAGGCCACTACTAGCATGACCTGATGCTATCTGTGGGCCAACAGCAGTGGCATAGAGACAAAAAAAAAGGTGTTTCATTCCCTGGGACCACATCTTTGCTGTTCCACTTTCCCAGAAACTCTGCTGCCCTGCCTGACTGCTTTTCCAAGTTTTCCAAGTCTGCTCA